CCTGGAGTTAAAAATGACAGACTCGTTTAAAGAATGTTTGCAAGTCATTTAGCAGAGCAATTTTTATCCATATAAACATAAGTTAAAGCAAAGTTATAAGTATAATTCTGACTTGATGTCCGTGGACGTAAATTGAGTCCTTGGGGTCTTGTGAGTGCTCCATGGATTCGCACATTTAAACGGGGTTCGAGCCTAATCATGATGTTCTGAGAAACTGTTTCGTGCTTTTCCACGTTAGTGCAATAAGGCGCCTTAAAAAGCAGAATTTGTTCTTGTCAGAAAAACGACGCAATAGTCTGGCTCACCTAAGCAAAAGTAGTATGTCCTACAGCTAACCACAAAGGCGTGGAACGTGGCCTTTGGGGCTTACGCTTGCACCGGTTATTCGAGTTTGGATTTTAAGCACAACTTCTGCTGAGGTTAAGGCGTAGTGTTTAAGCACCAAATTTACATGAGAAAGCACGTTGCACCTTTAGAATTATCAAATCGGTTTTTGAATTACTTAGCTATGTATTTTGTTATGTTCACGCTAAAAGTGAACAGGAACAGGTCAAAACATCAAACCTTTACCTCGGAGCATCCAGCTAACTGCATGGCTACAAAGCTGGTTTGGCTGTAAATTTACCAGGTGACCTGGTTGCTGGACATTACGATACTAGCCGTAAAGAATGCCGTTGTGGGTTTCTCAATTTCATTGAATTTAACATTAAATGGAAAATTTATGACAGTATAAATTTAAGGGCTAGATTGTGTTCCGGTTCATTGAACGCGCAGTTTAGAAAGGGTTAATCTGTGTTAATCGATTGGTCCAAACCATGGTCTAATTAAACATTTTTTTAGGTCGAGAAAAAAACAGAGTTGACCTGGAATCGCGCGGCTTCACAAAACACGTCAAGCCGACAGCAAATAAACAGGAATTAAGTAAGGCGATTGTATTAGCACTTTACTACACTTGCTTCTTTTAATGGGGATCGTGAAACGTGAAGTTCTTGCAAAATACCAACCAGTTTATGATATCCACTTTGGCTTAAATGCGTAGCGCTTGATTACAAAGCTAAGGATCCAAAGGCAGTTAGGTTAAGTCTGAACTCACGATTCATGATTCTTAATTGTGTTGATTACAAAGCTTGGTTGAATAATTCTTTGAGGATGTTGTACTTGCCGACCTTGGGGACCAAATCTTGACATCGGCTTTGACGCACTAAGTATGTGGTTCTTATACGTATCTTCTGATCTGTTAAAGCCGAGACGCCAAAATCCACCAACGTGTAGATTCCTATTAGGAAAGTATGCGAAGGTAAGTATAACATCTGTGATAATTGATTTTCAAATTACTCACTCGAGTATTAGAAATATTAGCGGCGTTGAAAACATCATTACGACTTCCGAAACACTTTTTTAATGCTATAATTCTGGTTTTTAACTATGTCAATTATTCAAAGGACAAAATGTCTGCTAGAATTACATGTTGTTGCAAATTCGATGCTTTTACAATAGGTAGAACGAAAAGGCAATGCAAGATTAAAGAAGTCTGAAGGTGCTACTGTCATTACTTTTGCGATAAAAGTAGTAACAGAGATTTCCCGTATAATTAATTTAAGTTATCAAATTTATCCAATCAATTAATAAAATGGTCGGAAGAATTTACATTATCAAAATATTGCGTTGAATTTGCGAGTCCATACCTTGTTATTGTTCTTTAGACGATGGTTTCGTCTTTTCATTTCAGATTTCAAACAAATAACGACTTCTGCGTGTAACTTGCTGCTTACAATTAAATTGGAAGATGTTCTGGTTTTTTTCCTAACCCTGCAGTTACTTAAATGGCAAAACGGGTATTGTACTATATTCCTGAGTAAATCCAAAAAAGTGCCAATTTTTTTGTCGATCCACCTGTTGTCTGCTTCGTATTCAACAATTATCTTCTTGTTAGTTGCCACGAAACCTTAAAGTGACATCCAAAAGTAACTGCTATGTAGTCACTTTCGCAGCTCCTGCGGCCTTATCGAATCAGAACTAACTAAAATCGGAAATATAGAATGAGTTCAAACTAGTCGAATTTTTGACGCCAGCAATTTCGGGAATATTACTTAATTTGCACAGTATGTAATGCGTAGTTCTTACGTCAAGGGATGGGAGGTCAATGTTTCTCGCAGCCTACAAGTTATTTCCTCAAGCAGAAATAGCAGAAAAAAATATGACTGTCTGTCAGAACTACTTGATTCGTTACAGTATAGGCCCTAATGACAAGGAACCTACCTTCTTTACGTAATAGTTTTTAGTATTTAAATTTTTGTGCAAAATGTACTTGAGCACTTCTCTAGACTTACAGTATCAGCAGTATCCTTCTACAGAAGGAGGCTAAAAAATCTCAAATTTAGGATTTGCAATTAACGAGTTGTGAATTACGAATGAGGAAAAAAAAATATTCAGGGGTCCTCAAATATGGCTTCGAAGATTTGGCGTCAGGAATGAACGGCACACAAATGAAGTTATGATCTTTAGTCCACAGTTCTAATGAAAATAATCCTTTTTATTTAAGTAAATAAAATTTCCCATAAAAAGAAGCTTTCAGCATTCCCAAAAAACCTTTGTCAACACATTTTTGATACTTTTGTTGAGACGGTTTTCATCGTTCTTGTGCTAAGTTGCCGTTTTTTTAACATTTTGTCGTTTATTTCTGTCATCGTCAGTAACTTTTCACCCCTTTATTCCATTTACCATCGTTTAAAGAAGGGCCATTAAAATGTTACTTCTTTACCTTTTGGAGTCAGCCATAATGCTGTAAGTCCACGAATTTCGCCTTCACCTCAAATTCCAGGCTAGGCGATACACCTATTGTGGTTCCAGCTCAGTAAAGTTGTTTGGCTTGTTCAAAACCATTTTCAAAACACGTTACCTCTCTCTCTCTCTTGCCCTTGGATATGAGTCTGCACCCATGAGACTGCCACATTGTACACAATTTACACCCACGGTGTCCAACAGCAAAAGGACAGTGGAAATATGACTCTGCACGGTAGCCATTGTTGCGTATAATTGGCCTCATTTTCGGATAAAAGGTAAAAGAGGAGTCAGGTATTAATTGTCTTTTGACAAACCTGTTAAGACAATTTTCTGTTGTTGTGTGCTTTCTGGTGAGCCACCAAGGCAGCCCCCACACAAGCAGATGCTGGATCATTCTAGCGAATAATCAAATCGGTCAGGAAAGTGTAGGCACTTGCGAAACGCCTAAGAAAGCTACGGCAGTCTGGGCTTGTTACAGTATGGTATCACTTGTGTATAGCTGACGTTACTTTGGTTATTGACGTGTTTTACTGAGGGACAGTTAATTACGCTGAAGTAATTTCATGTGAGAGCGAGACGTTGATGCGGATGTCGAGGCGGCCGAGTCGCCGTTGTCGAAGGTCAGAGTTAGGACAAAGGGCTGTGTACTCGAAGGCTCATTACACCGGAGAATACTCTTGGCCTCAGACCTCAGTCGTAGAAGGGGGAAAATGGTTTTCCAACACGAAGTTGCCAGTTTTTCCTGAACATAAATGTCTCAAATTACTTTGGAATATTCGCGATAATGTGGCGGAAACATCCGCGCTTTCTCCAACTTGGTATTTGAATAATTATAGTACGACCATCGCAAAATCATAGAAACATTTTAGACGGTAAAAGTGGTTTGCATCATCAAGCATCCTTTCAATTAGTTGGTGATTAATTTGGCTACAGCATACCTTAGACGATATGGATGAATCGGTAGTTATTCTATTATTAATAATCCATAAAATTAGGCAAAATTTTGGCATCGCAGAAAACAACCTGTCAGTGCTGCACATTCTTCAGCGATTTTTAAATGAATTTTATGTTTTGCGTAGTTATAAGTTAAAAGCAAACATTTCGCTTACTGGTCGTTAATGGTGGGGCTGTTTAGTGTCGTTACACCATCCTGGCTTAGATAGGTTCACACTACCAAGTTGCATTTTTGTGCAATCTAAATGATTATTTAATTCGCAACGCCGCTAACTGATGGATCTTTTCCTTATAATTTTCAAACAATGTCAGTCGCTTGGGTAAAATACAAAAAAATAATAATCGAAAAGTAAAGCAATATTGTCGCTCCTCAAACCCCTAACAAATATGGTTGTTTTGTAATACGTGGCACGTGTTGCGTGCCTGTCCAATGCCACTTGCATCGCCTGACGATTTACTGAATAGAGATTAGTAATGGGTTTCGAATTACCTAAAGGGATTTTGAGATCTGTTGAAAACACCAATCTGTCATGAGGAGGAGCACTATAAATGACTACAAAGACTTCCTTGACTTCTGCTAGATGAACAGCAGTTAGTTTGAACTCTTCACTGTAGTGATAGCCAAAAAAGTGCACTGCATCTTTTGACTTGCGGATAAACTCATCAGCTGAAAGGCAAAATAAGTGAAATCTACGCAGACTGCTTGGCCAAACCTTAATTGTTTCCAGTACCTAGACTCGAGTAGTCTCGCTTTCCACAGTAATTCTACCTTTTAACACGTGCAGACCCACACGGTAGAGGCTTGGAAATTGATTTGCAGGCGTCGTGGAGCTAATTAGATTAATAGAAAAAAAGCGGGCTTTTTAAAGAGACGTTTGCACTTGATTTACCACCGATGGAACCCCTCTAGTGTCACATTAATGATCTCGTCTTTGCTGAAAGGCCGTCACCACTTTCTGCATTGCTCTGTACCTCTACTCGCATCCTTGCATGCTCAAACAACTTCTAGTTTGCCTCTAAGAGGTCAAAGTCAGCACCGCTGCATAGCAGTCACAAAAAAGACTGACACTTAGCCTCGCTAAGTTCCGATTTACTAGTTTTTAAAACAGCAAGTTTTATTGTGATAGGAAAATTGTCGCAAGTTTGGTAAAAGCTTTATCTGCTCCAGAATTTCCTGGGAAAATGGGCTTCGCTTCCGCTTTAGTAACTCATATGCCCTTCATCATCAGAGCAGTCGAAAAAGACTATTTACAAAACGGCGTATGTACAACAACGGGGCTGGAATCGGGCGGGAGTTCAAGTCATATAATACATTTCGCGGTGAGAACATCTCTACTGGTGTTCGGAAGACAAAATCGAGGGTTTCATTCCGCCTTCTGAATTTAACTGCTAGGAATATGACTCAAGTAGTCATCAAGTTTCTCTGTCAGGTTGAGATGGGCTCGATGGCGCTGCTGCCACCGTATTTCCATCCTTGTGGCTCTGGTTTCCTGAGAAACCCAAATCTCCCGGCTTTGGAGGTCGCTGTTTCCGTTTTTTGGATAGCTGTCGAGAAGGTGCCTGCAGATTTTGTGGGAAGTTTCGATGGAATTGAAAGGGCCTTACTCTCTCCTTGTCTTTGTTGGCCAGGTAATCTAAAAGAGGGTGTTTCTCGTTTTAAGTCAAACAAGCAAAACAACTTCGCTTAATTTACAGCAGTGAGTTATGCTCTAGCTGCTGTTAACCATGTTTACCGACGTACCGGGAGCGCCATAACAACTGACCACGAGGTCATGCAGGACACGATTGCATTTGGCGTCCCAACTTAGCAGGTCAGCTAGTTGGAGCATTTGACCTCGAACCACAAGTTCGCTCTGTTTATTTCCAGCCTAAAATCAAAATGAACCTACTTAAATAGTGTTCATCAGATAACACTGGTGGACGAAATGCACGCATTGGTCAGATGGAACAGAACTCTTCCTTGACGCCTTTCTCTAGCGAATAAAATGTTGCTAAAGTTTCCATATACCCACATGCTAGGTGAAGAGCTGTTTATATTACTACAATACAATAATACGTTAATATATTTATACTAGAGGTGCACTGACCACCTATGCTCGCGAAGTATGCTCAAATGTCTATGTAGTAATGGGCATTACCTCTGGGTTTTTTTATAATTCTGGAATTCTTTTTTACGAGCAAAATTCAAAGGAAAGATGATTACAGTTGCTGACAAGGTTTACTTGATCTGTTTGCACTCACCAGATAAGTCATGCTGCGTCTGAAGATGATTCAATGAACCGAGGTACTTTGAAATACATCTACGTATGTTTATTGGACATAGTCTTGGGAAATGGCAGAGTTATAACTGTATTGTGGATGAAAAATATGGACCACCAAAAATACTCTGAAAGACCAATTGCTAACACTACTATTTTGATACGCTAAGTGCGATGTAGGAGCGGAGCTTACAGTAATTTCTAATGGACAAAAAAACATGTGTTAATGCACGCCTGTTCGGTTTGGTGCAGAACAGGTTCCGGTTCCACACACAATTGCAATTTCTCATCCATGTGAGCCTGTTTTGTGCTTTCAGTGCACATGAAGACATTTTTAGTCTCATTGACAGTTGGGTTTCTGTGGTGTTAGATGGCACGCCACCCCTTCGTGTGGCCCAAAGCCACAAGCAACACCTGTGCGTGTTTATTAAGGCGGCAGCACAAGCCCACGCCCCCAGTGCTGTACCTGTTCTGGCCGTGTTACTAACCCCATCGCGGAAGGACATGGTGTAAAGTGTCACGAGATGATACATGTTAAAAGGGGATGGGCTCGCGGCAGCCGGTCTCTCGAACACATTCAAGGAAATTACTACTCGGTCCTGCGACCAGCAAAAAATCCAGAATTTTTTTTAAACTAACCCTTTGGGTGATATTTTTACCGGCAGTAATTTCTGGTAGTTCGCTCTCTCTCTCTAAGTGTGTTTAAATAATCACAGGCTGTAAAAAAATACATTAAACGTCACACAATGTTGCATAAATCAACTCAAAATAATTGCTTCACACGCATATCTCAGTCGAGAGAAAATAAGCAAATTATGAGGTCAAAGTTTTCAAATAAATTACCGAAAATGGTCTATTATTCATACAGAAAATACAGCCTTATGATTTTTGCCTAGACACGCTGGGACAATTTCCTGCATTATACAAGAGTTGGCTTCGATTCACTGATGTTATTCTTCAATCACTTTAAAGCCTTACTAAAGTGTCCTACCACAACCTACATAACCTGATCCAGATTGCACTCCGATCAGTCGTGGACAGAGTGCAGGAGATGGCACCACTCGGGGTCAATTCACACCTGTACTGGGCTATTACGATTCGCCGTTCTGTGGGCTCATTCATGCACTTACTGATAAGCAGCACGCAAATAACGCCAACTGCAAGTACACCGTTCACTCCAACAATCCGACAGGCATCTGTTTGGCATGCAGTCAATCTTGCCTCATTCTCACCTTCAAATTAACCTGTCGTGAAGGTCGATGCTGGCCTACATGACATTACGTGGCCTGCTCGTGAATGCCCGAAGCATTTTAATCACCAGACAATTTTATTATTTTATCGTAAACCATTTATCAAAAAGGCGTTTAATACTGGTTTGAAAAGTTTTTTGAAAAAAAAATGAACCTTTTTGAACATAAGTCCATTGTAGGAACTCTTTAGATGCTTTGCCTGCTCACCAACCTACCTAAACCATTAAGTCGGCTTAACAGCGCCTGTAATGTTAACAACGAAAGGACTCTTCACGAATTAAAACAAGGCAAATCGTTCCCACTGAAGCAGCTTAATGATCTAGTATAAATAAAAATAGCAATTTTTTGTGTCCGTTGACTAAACATTGTGCCTCGACAACCAGAAATCAAGGAACGTTGAAACAGCCTTTTGGTTAACAAGAAGACTATTCTGTTATTTCATTTCCAACCCGAACAGTCAAAAGCGGAGCCTACTCCAGCACTGCTGTCTCTGCAGTTTCGGGTGATTTCAAGTCGGAATCTATTGGTTTACACTGAGCCGTCACTCTGTTTACTGGCACAACTCATCATCGATTTTCGCTCCCACTTACATAAGCTCGCCTCCAAAGAAGATTTGAGGCAAATGGTTCCCTAGTTTTAATTTCGTCGTATTAAGTGCGTAAGGAAGTCTTCGTTTACACGCGTTATGTCAATAATGACAGAGGCTTTACACCACAACTATTCTATGTAGCATTGCGGAGGGTGAGATTATCTTCTTAAGGTACTTGAAAGCCATGATTTTAGCCAAATAAATGGGTTTTTTGATTAGGTATAAGGGCTGCAGGGTTCAACGTACACTTACGCTTCATTTTAAAGAGATAGCAAGCCATAAAATAAATTAACATTTGGAATTTTCCAAAATACTTGTGAATGGAGAATTTGTTTCCCATGGAATCCAAGATAATCAAACCAGGATCCTGAAGGAATGGATGCCTTCCACTTAATTTTTGTTGCGTTGTCAGCCATTGAAACAATGCCGGATTTTTACAATTTTTCTTTAAATTGTTGCTTACACTGTCTATGGATTCCCTTAACGTTGAAAGCAAAAATAAAAAATTTCGAAATCACCGCATCTAGGTCTTACATCATGGCTGGAGCAATAACACATTTGAGGCTGTTATGTAGGTTTAAAGTGCGCACTTTTGATGGGATTTAAAATATGTGGGCAAGTGCACATTTGCCACTACACACATAGGGGTCTAGCAGTTTAACTGGAATGGTTACGGCATGCCATTGCCGCGATTTCAAAGAAGGGACTTAATGAATCATGACCTTGAAAGAGGCATTCACTTTAAATGCTCCTGGTTTGGTGTGAAGGTGAAAAAAGCCTCACTTTCGTCGCCGAAAATGCCGCTCGATGCAAAAATGCCACCCTTTATCGAGAAAGGAATGTCATTTACACGGACAAGCACAAAAGAAGACAGGAAAAGGTCATTCCAGCGCCGGCGGATATCTTGCTAAATGTCAACGGGGTAACTCCTCTGTCGGGCTGGGGCGTACGAGCGAAAGCGCATTCTTGCGTGTGAAACGGGTGTCAACACGCCATCTTGTATCCGTGTATCCATCAATCACGCCACTTCTGTTATGGAATCCAAAACGCGTAAAATCTTCAAAAACATTTACCAAGGGTTTTTCACTTTGCAATTAGAGAGCTTTAACTTTCTAGGATAACTCGGGATAGTTAACTTGCGTTAAACGCCGTCTTTTTACCACGGTTTTAGACTGGAGTGAAAATACAGCGCTAACTTTAAACTTTCCGTCTGTATCGAAAACATTAAAGTATGCATCTAATATTAGCTCGCAAACGGCTAAAGCGTCTTATTCATGCCGTCTTTTGAAATGCAGGTTCAAAAAAGTGTTTTCAGAAAAAAACCAAACTTATTTGGCAAATACTTAGCCTAGTAACGCGTTTATCAACACCCCACTCCCAAACCGTTGATAGGCCGATGCCACTGCAGCTCACGTAGTGTATTCTCGTGCGACCCGTTCATGTGGTTTTAATCCCAACAGGAGACCTTCACATTAATCAAAATCAGGTGCAGCACACAGCCACCCAAAGAAATCACTTTACTGTGGCCATAGTATCACGGAATGTAAGTTTGTGATCGCCAAAACATCTCCTTTCTTTTTTTTCACAGTTGGCATCTTCTAGTCTATTTTTGTCTTTTAATTTAGCTAGTGTTAGTAGCAGCAAGAATGATTTGGCTGAAGCATTTCCAGTAATTTTCTAGCTTCACTTGATGGATGGCGCAACGTCGTCAAGCCGTAAGCGAGTTCTTGTGATTGGCGTATTTAAATTGCTATCATGCGACGGGTTTCAGCAAGAAGTGCTATCGACTCAGCCTTACGATAACTCCGAAGACGAATTACCTTTAACATTTAAATTGACTGCAAGGCCCCAATGCGTTTAGCTTATTAGTTCTGCTTTGGCCCCAATTTGAGTTTTGCATATTTGCATAATTTCGTGCAGTGCCTTCATATTTGAATGCGTCTTTAGACATTGCCTTCATTTTGAACATAATTGCTTTCATTTTGTTTCAACGATACGAAGATATGTGAGACATCATTCCCATGAATCAAATTAAAACCGGATTTGGTTCGTCTGCGGCACTCAAATTTTTTCAAAACACGTGAACTCTATAGTTACTAGTTACTCGAAAAATCGTGCATTCAGATGCCAGCAAACTTTGATTTACACCTCAGCTAGCCATTAATAATGGTGAATGTGAGATAGCATGGTTCACCTGTGACAGTAAAACAAGTCTTATACCTAAAATCTGACAAAAAACCGGAAACGAAGTTTTGTTCATGTACAACCACCAGATTGGACTAAAAATAAATTCATGTATTTACATGGAATGCATGCTTAAGGCTCAAGATAGTCCTACGGAGCATGCAACCTGTCATCTTGCAAATGAGCTGACCAGAAAGTCAAAAGTAATTTACAAACAATTTCTTCGGAAAGGACTAACTTATGGCTGAAGTCTTCCAGCATAAGCATCTACCTGTGCTCACGTGCTCTTATTAATAGCGTTTGAATTGTATTGTAAATTTTCATATCTAGAGGTAAGGGGCTGTTCCGTGTGATCAGTTGAGCATACTTAAAACACAAAACAAGCCGGAGTCCATTTTCCGTTGAAATTGGACTAATAAACCGCACATCCACCCTCCTACGTACGCGAATTTCGTTAACCTAGTCGCATCTCAATTTTGTGGTGAATTCTGTGCGTACGATCCCAAATGCCAATGCCAAACTGGTTTCTAAATCATTCAGTTTGATCCAGAGTGCTTACGTCAAGCAGTCACAGGCTGCCGTGAGTCAGGTTTCCTCATATTACTCCAATTTCCTACGCATCGACCTGCCCGACTGAGTGCAGAACATAAGAATGCTTCACTCACGACTTTATAAGTAAATACGTATATTTACATCGCGCTGACCTTTTACACGCAGCCGCGTCACTCCAAGCGTTGCTGTAATTTCTGCCAAAAAACTGCTGCGCATTTCACCTCCCTGACATTATATATGCATATAGGTGGATGGCAATGCAAGATCGGGAATTGTATAGCCCCTCTCACATCCCTATCGCCTAGAATGACACACCACCTGTTTCCTCCAGCCGATTTCGCGGTCATCGGCTGTTCGAGAAAACATGTGTTTTGTGCTCTTTGGAATGCGGACGGTGTTTAAATAGATGGGGGTTAGAGGCATTAACGTTATTTCCTTTGCGATATTCAGGAATGGTATCAAGTTATTTTGCAAATGCTTGTCATTCAGATGGAATGTTGTGGGATTTTCCCATTTACCTGAGTATCCATGATTAGTTTGCGGTCCACATACGATTCTAACGTGCTTCTTTGCCATCAAAACAGTTTTTTTATTAATAACAGGCTATTCAGTCTTCGAAAACCATTAGTCTTAAATTTAACTGTTCAAATTTGGCCCCGTATTTGTGCCTCAACGAAATTACAGCATAATACTATTTGCAAAAAGGTCCTAAAAATGTCGGAATCGCTGCCCACAAGTTACTTTATATTGATTTGCTGGACCAAAATCGATTGTACTCTTCCTCTGTAAAACACAGACATTGCTTCCCAGCGTTCAGCCTGTTTTTAGCAGTAAACCAGAAACAAGGAAAAATACATAGCATGAATTGAGTAGGTACGGGTTATTGGTCGTGTAGTCTCCATAACTACCACATGTCTAAATCAGAACTGGTCTTATTG